ATACCCTCGATTACATTTAAATTAATAGGTATGTCTTTTGAAAATTTGCACTTAAAAACAAATTGTGAGTAAAACGCAATTCTGTTTTCCCTTATAAATTCTAAGTGCTGAAAATTACATTCAAATGGATCATGCCTAATATTTTTCAATTGTTGAAATAGATAAGCAATATTCACTATTCTATTTCCTTCTAAATTCGCACAATCACTGTTATCACAGTTGTCGGTTTCAAAAGAAAAATTGTATTTATCTGAATCGGGTTCTGAGGCACTGGATTTGTTATATTCTTGTGTGGTTGATATCGATTCTTCCTGCGTGGCCCTGTAAACGCATAACACAATTAGAATAATTAGGCAAAACTAACAAATGGATTTTACTGTTGTGGCTAATACTTACGAAATCGGCGTGTAACGAGCAAAATCAACGTCTGATTCGATGATATCCCAATCAGTTTGAGTTGATATGTCTCCGGGACCAGTCTGATCGCAAGGATCGTTTTCTAAAAGTACATTTTTCCACCGTAAAGCCTTGTTTTGTCGTAAAGTAGTTTCATGCACTTGGGTTTGCACGACGACTTGTTTAAATGACTCACGAGGTGATCTAAAAACAACATAAGTAACAAAAATTATGTTAGACGTAATAACAAATAGAGAAATTACAATTTTTGATAGAGAGGCGAAGTGATAGCGGCCGAATCATCCTAGATATGTAATAACTACAGTAGGTACATATAACTATGAAAGTACTTACGATTGGGGCGTGGTCAGTACATGAGGAATATCGGAACTAATCTGTTCACCAGGGTCATTTATTACAGGTACATTTTGACACTGTGCAGACATTGCTTCATGTACTTCCACTGAACAAATATTTTGCTCGAATGAATCTTGTGTTGATCTAAAAAAAAACATGGATTATACAGGGTCAAATTAAGTTGATTTAGCGATACTCCGCAGATAAAAATCAAATGATTTGATTTTTTTTCGGGTCAGCGATCATAACACTCAAAATAATCCTTACGGTTGGGACGTATCCAGTACAGGAGGAATGTTTTCTTTATTCATGAACCATCCCCTCAATGTTCTTTTCAACTTCTTCTTACGAGGGGCACATAGTTTTAGGCGCCCTTTATTTCCAATTCGCCAATCTTTTGTATCTGTTCCATAAAAATAACAACATTATAAAATAGTTAAAACACTATTTTTAATTATTTTATGAAAGTAATGTTTTTATTCATAATTATGCCGTTATTTATTTATTAATTATGGGTTTATTAATTTATTTTTGTAGACAGCCTTCTAACGACGTGTAAGGCTTCTAAAAATGTAGATACCTATGTACCTAGTTTTTCATAGAAGTAATGAAGTCGGTTAAAAAAGAAAACTATTAAAAGTCACATAAAAAAAATTTAATAAACTATTATATGTATAGGTAAGCATTATGTTATATGTAATATTATAAAGCTGAAGAGGTTGTTTGTTTGAACGCACCTACCAGATTAATCTTTTTTGTTTTTGTTAGTAGCCTATTTAAAAGTTGTTAAATTATAAGCTATAAAATACAACACTGGGATCATGGGGGCGGAGCAGTAAATAGGTTCCTACGGGAACGCGAGTGAGGAAATCCTAGTACAAGCATATACCTATATAGGTACCTAATACGATATAGAACTAGGTAAAGTTACAGCCTAAATACGTCCCACCGCTGGGCACAGGCCTCCCGGCAAGGAAGTGTCCGCCGCGCTGCCCCAATGCGTGTTGGCGAACATCACATGTCTTTGAAAATATTTTTTTTATTCCTCAGACATGCAGGTTTCCTTACGATGTTTTCTTTCACCGCCGAGCACGTGGTAAATCAGCACTTACAATTAACAATTTCATTGGTGCCGGCGGGGATCGAACCCGGTTTGCTCGCATACTGTGAAATTTACAGCGAGCGCTAACCATCTGAGCTACCACAGCTCTGAACTAGGTACATACCTATCAATAGGGTATCCCGACTGCCAGAAGCACAGTACAACACAGATATTTTTTACCGTGTTATGGTGCGTCTCCACCAAAGTTTTGTTGCCAACACAACAGTTGACAACACCTGTTGCCAACAAATGTTTCTGTAATCACCTAGTGTTAGCAACAAAACTTGAAACAATATCGGGAACCGTGTTTCCATTTTCGGCGCCAACACCAAAGGAATACGCTTGTTGCCAACATTTGTTCCTTCGGTGGAGACGCTTCTTGGAACATTTTCGGAAACAAATGTTGGCGACTTTTGTTGATTTGTCAACAGTTGGAAACATAAATGTTGTCAACATTTTTGGTGGAGACGCGGCTTTCGAAGTTCCAGAGTAGAAAATCCAACAATCCAATCTAATCTGGTGGAAGGCGCCGTCGTCAACGCCTCTGCTGTCGTTGACGCGTGTCGCTCGTGTGTAAGAACACTAAATAAATTAGATTTAACAAATTATATGACTTACCCATTGCTTATTTGTAGTTTTTCGCACCTGTTTCTTGAACCAACACAATGTCACTGGCACAGTGTCCACTCCACAGAACAATTCACTCAAGCCAACAATTCTAATTTGCAACAAAAATGTACGGAGTCCAAATTTTAGTGCAAAGTCAAACAGAGTAGTATCGAAATCCAAAGTTCAAGCAGGGGTCAATGTAGCGTAGTAATTTAGAGCGCAGGTATAGCTATAGTCATACGAACGTCACAGGCCGCAGCTGACTGAGTCCAATAAAACTAGAACAAACGCGCGTCACCACGCATGCATGTGTGTGTAAGTGTCGTCCTCCCGCACCGCACCGGGGGAAACATTATTCAGTGAGATGCACGATAATTCATATAAACACGCGCGCGTAAAAAAATACGAAAAGGCCTTTGGAAGAAGGGGTTTTATGAAAAAACCACTGCATAAATCAATTACAAATAAAATTTATTGAAAATTCTTCGATAATTGAGCTGTGTCGGTACCGACTTTGTTTTGGAAATTTTACACTGCCTTTATTACTAATTTACGCCCAAAGTTGTGTTAAAATTGGCAATAAAAACGAATCATCTTTGGTAGCTCGTAACTTTTTAATGACTTTTTATTTTACTATTCTGTTTCCGTACAGACAAAATTAATAATGAGACAAAACGATATCATGTTTAACTGTCACTTGTATGTACTGTTGATGTACACTGTCAAACAGCGGAGTAAAACCCCTCCGAAATTTCTATGTAAATAATGTCGACTAGTGTCACCTTAACAGCAGCATTCGATTACTCACTATTTTTATAGATTTTGTACAGCTTATTGATGTTCAAATCTGAGGATAAATATTTTCCACTCCCTGCATATGCGATTCAAACATTGCAATTGAAAAATTATGAATAGATAGTTTTTGTTCTTCATATAAATGTTCCTTACGATTTTCACCTGGAATAAAATAACTTCAAATAGGTGGATACCCGAAATTAAAGACCTAATATCCATAAAATAACAGAAAAGAAAATTATTACCTCGCTTCTCATCAATGATTATATCTCCAGTATGAAAAAAATCTATTCATTACATACGCAACTCTGTGTTTTGTTATATTGAACACACACCTTAACATTACGTAGAAAAACGGCATTACGGCGTATTTAATTGTTTTTTGTTTTGTCCCTTTAAAACCCGCTTTCTGCTTCACAGGTTCAATAGAACAGTATTTTAATATTAAAGAGTCTTGATCTTTTTATTTTTATGTTTGTAAAAATTTTCTTGTAATTCTTTTAACTGAGCCATTGTTGATGTGGCACATTTTAGTGCTTTCGAATTATGAATGCACACTCTATCGGGTAATGATTTCGCCGAGTACCTAAAACATAATAAAGTATATAACAACAATATGGCCTTTTACATGACAAGAAATGACAACCCTACGGGTAAACTTACTTCAATTCTTTAGCTCGGTTTCTAGCCCAATTTTCTGGATTCCTTTTGCGTTTTCGTATGAAATTGTTATTTATTAAAGTTGAGTGGCCTTCCATGATACTATTTTCACTGCTTTATATTAGTATTAGTCAAAAACATACTTAGAATACAGTATAATTACGGAGAGAATTGTTCCTACGGCCGTTACAAAACTCAAAAGAACTCTCGCTTCTGATTGGTCGACAACGTAAGATGGGCGGGTTTGTATTTAAAGTTTTACAGATAGCCGGATTTGATGCTAATGTCAGGTTTTAGCCTGTTTTTACTATGGTTTATTGCCAGTTTTGAACCGTATACTCTAAGGGAAACGTTTTTATTTATATCAATTTAAGTTGCCATATCAATGATTACTTTTTGTCAAAAAGCACAGATTGCCGCCTTTGACACTGATCGACTCATATAGTACACACATTTCCACGTTTTCGGTTCAGTTCGGTTCGCAGTTATGTCCGACAAAGCCTTTACTGCGTCTTGTTTTTAAACTGAAAGGTTTTGGTTTTGCATCTTCAAAAACTATTTTTTTTTTAATTTGGATTTGGCAAACCTAATATATATAAAGTCCATAAAGTCACCATCCAGACACGGAATAATTATTTGTAGGTTATAGAAATATTTGTTTTGGAAGGATTCTAACTTGCATTCCTCAGCGTCACAACTCATTGCTAAGCTACCTCGTCACGAAGCTGTAAGATGAAAAGAGTGCTCTTGTGACTGATTATATTAACCAGTTCATTAAATATAAGTAATATTGTGAGTCTGAGGAATAAGACTGCATGTCTGAGGAATAAGAAAAAAAATATTTCGAAGACATGTGAAGTTCGCCAACACGCATTGGGGCAGCGTGGCGGACACTTCCTTGCCCTAAAACCCTCTCAGAAATGAGCCTGTGCCCAGCAGTGGGACGTTTATAGGCTGTAACTTTACTTTTTAACTTTTAATATTGTGAGTTGCAGTGAAAATGAATGTTTAATAATTGGTGTAGGTGAGTGGCCGCACGTAATATAACGTATACGTAATGTAATGTTGTGTGGGGTGTCAGATCAACCTGTGCGCGTACGTGTCGGAGCGGTGCGGCGGCGAGTCGGGCGGCGGCGCGGGCGCGGGCGCGGGCGGCGCGGCGGGCGCGCTGGAGGTGCTGGAGGCGCGCGGGCTGGCATTCCTGGTGCCGCAGCTGCGCGTGCGCGCTCAGCTGGCGCGCCAGCTGGCCAGCGAGCCGGCGCCGCTGGCGCTGTACCGCTGGATCAAGGCCAACGTGGAGCCAGCCGTACGCCACAACGCGGCCTTCGTGTCCACGCTGGTGGCGCTGGTGTGCGCGCACGTGACGGGCGCGGCGGGTGCGACGGGCGCGCCGGACAAGGCGGCACTGGAGCGCGAGAAGGCGCTGGCGGAGGCGTACGCGCCGCTGCTGACGGCGCTGCTGGAGGGCCGGCCCGACCTGCAGCTGGCCGCCGTGTACGCCGTGCAGCTGCACGCGCACGCGCACCGCTACCCCAAGGGTCAGCGCGTTTCTATCACTACTACTACTACATACTACGTGACACTATACTATCACTCAACTCTCCCTATACTTAAATATTCCTGTGTGAAGTTTTATATACCACTGTAGAATTGTATACTACAATGCATAATTATATCTTTTTATAAAATAAGGATACAAACGAGCACACAGTCCACCTGACGATAAGTGGATGCCGTGGCTTACAGACATCTATATTTATTCTATATTAATATAAAATATATTTATTCTTAATAAAAATTATTACAATGTATACAATGCAATTATATTTCAGTAACAATAGTGCACAACATGCAAATTATAATTTTAATATATACATATACGACACATCAATACATAATAAATGCACGTATATGACAATATTAACTATTTAAATAAGCTTCACAATATTTATTGCCAGTAAACTGTGTGTGTACAATTTGCGGATAACATTGCATTTAAATATTACACGGGGTACCCATATCAAATATACACTAATTGAAAAACAAAACTTGCTATAAGTTAATTTGTATTAAATAATTCATTTACATTATAAAAACATTAACGGTTTAACCATTTCTTGCGGTATATTTCTTGAGGTATATTTTAAACTTTAACAAGTTCATCCCTTTTAAATCAGGTGGCAGATGATTAAATATTTTAATACCTGTTTAAAAGTGTAATAACTGTAATACCTGTGCAAAAGGTGCTCTTATAATACATATAATTATTAATCTAGCACTTGATCTTCATAAACATCTAAGAAATATTTTAAATCATAAAATACTTTATTCTTTACAATTTTAAATTCAAATAATATTTCTTTTAATTATTTAATTTTTTTTAAATAATTTATTAAATATTTTAAACCACATATTTATACTTACAATTTTTGTAATATTTCACAAGCCTAAAAATAACATCTAATAATTTAATAAATAATGACCTATTTATAAAAACAAACACGCCAACTTCATAAATGTATAGTGATGGAAGAGATAATATATCAAGTCTTTTAAATAACAATTTCCTCTGGCGATATCACGTATTTTACATGAATTAGTCCAGGATCCATCGCCCATTTTTGCACGTGATTACTATCAAGCTAATTTTCCGTGAGTAGCTTTATTTTGATGAGATGCCCAATAATTTCCTGTACGAAACTCTCGATTGTGGTAGCTAACAGAAGTAGCAAGGATAAAATATGTTGATATGATGATTCTCAAATATTTATTACTAACTGATTTTTTTTTGTTAAATCTCAAGATAATTATTCGAAAAAATATTTGTCCTACAAAATCTATGGTTTGATCAAAGAGTCCCCTCTATCCAATATGTATCGATAACGAGGTCATCATGAATGATTACTAACCAGCTGTTTTTTTTTTACTTAGTTAATATTTATATAATTTAACAGACATATTTTCCTACAAATTGCGTGGTACGTTATCCCGGTCCTACGCTCAGTAGTTGTTAATACCACAAGACCATTTTTTCATTACTAACTGTAGGACAAAAATATTACATGATAGATTAGTGTGTTCTCTGCCCAAATGAAACATCGTCCTACAAGAAAACAGGTATGTATTATTAGTCCGACAAGAATTGTCATTTTTTCGTTTTTCTATCTGTAAAATAAGATAAAGTGAAAAAAGCTTTTTTAAAATTTAAATAACTATAATAAAAAACATTATGTATTTATATATATAAAAAAAGAAGTTAATCTTCATCAGATTCATCTGATAAATCTTCGCTACTAACATCGCTGTCATCTTCTATTTCACTTTCACTCACTCGTAATATCTGACTGTAATAACATGAAAAAATAAAGTAAATTATATAATAATGAATATTATTATTCCATAATTATTTTCCAGCACAAAAAACATTTCTTGAAATAATTTCTCAAGACAAAATAAAACACGTGGTCCTGTTTAAAAGTGTAATAACTGTAATACCTGTGCAAAAGGTGCTCTTATAATACATATAATTATTAATCTAGCACTTGATCTTCATAAACATCTAAGAAATATTTTAAATCATAAAATACTTTATTCTTTACAATTTTAAATTCAAATAATATTTCTTTTAATTATTTAAATTTTTTTTCAATAATTTATTAAATATTTTAAACCACATATTTATACTTACAATTTTTGTAATATTTCACAAGCCTAAAAATAACATATAATAATTTAATAAACATCTAATAATTTAATCAGATTCATCTGGATAAATCGGACTGAGAAAATGTTTGCAGGCTTATGGTCGACACTACCGTGGGATACCTAATACGGAGTAAGCAATGCTCTGCGCATGCGTACCGCCGTACCGGTGTGACTCAGCTGTAGTAGCAAAATACAGAAACCCAAGCGACACAAATTTTTTTACTACCTCAGTTAGCTACCACAATTGAGAATTTTCGCATAGGAAATTGTTGGGCGACTCATCGAAACGAAGCTATTCACGAAGATTCAGCTTGATAGTAATTATTTTTACATCAAGGATCTGTACTACTACTTTTGAGCGTAGGACCGGGATAACGTACCACGCAATTTGTAGGACAATATGTCTGTTAAATTATATAAATATTAACTAAGTAAAAAAAATCAGCTGGTTAGTAATCATTTATGATGACCTCGTTATCGATACATATTGGATAGAGGGGACTCTTTGATCAAACCATAGATTTTGTAGGACAAATATTTTTTCGAATAATTTAGATAATTATCTTGAGATTTAACAAAAAAAAATTCAGTTAGTAATAAATATTTGAGAATCATCAACATATTTTAATCTTGCTACTTCTGTTAGCTACCACAATCGAGAATCGTACAGGAAATTATTGGGCGTCACATCAAAATAAAGCTACTCACGGAAAATTAGCTTGATAGTAATCACGTGCAAAAATGGGCGATGGATCCTGACTAAATACATTTTTTGGGTAACAAATAATCTATTCAGGTCTATATGTATAATAATCTTTACCCCATATTATAAATCCATAGCTTAAAATAAACTACATATATGCATGATACGTTGCAATTGTTGTTTTAATATATGTAATGTTTTTGACGTGTTTTAGAGCATATATAAATTTATTAATCCTACTGTACTTCCCTGCACTTCTGTCGGTATATCAAAATGTTGAAGTGTTTGTACAGTAGGGCTACAATGGCTATCTGAATACAGAACCGGAGCACGAAACCTATCAAACTGCATAGAAGTGCACTGCAGGGTGACGTAATATCCTCGAAACTCTTCACCACTGCATTGGAAGACGTTTTTAAGTTGCTGGACTGGAAAGGATATCGTATGAACCAACGGCGAGTACATTACTCACCTTTGATATGCCAACGATTTAGTCCATATGGCAGAATCGCTAGAGGACCTAAGCACTATGCTCAATGACCTCAATAGTGCCTCTCAACGGATAGGTCTTAAGATGATCATGGACAAAACAAAGATCATGCGTATTATCAATGTCACACCCATAGAATACTATAATACACAATAGAATGGCTGTCAACCTTATTTTGTACGAGTATCGGTGTCGTCGGAAGCACACATAGAAGCAATTACGTCGTACTATCACAACTACAAACCCGATTCGCTGTGTTGACTGACTGACTTTACAAATGTTAGACTTTTGATTTATGTTTTTGACACATCAATATTTCTTTTTTTTGTTTTCTAATATTCACAAAATATAAATAGTTTCGAATTACTGGTTGTAGGATGTCTCCTTTATTTAAAATCCATTTCCCGCTGTTCTTTCGACACTCAATTATTGCACAATTTGCCATTTTTTAAATAATTTACATGCAGCGAGCAGCGACGCTTGACACGAAAATCGGAAACGATTGATTGTGTTGACATTTATAAGTGTTGTCTCCGAAACACATTATCAGATCCTTACAAAATTTATATGGGACCATTTCGGAATAAACCTCTTTCGAATAAAAAAGAATTTTGCAAATCCGTCTATATGACGGAGTTCTTTTTTTTCTTTTTTTAAAACGTTACCCCTACACCAGGATTTTCTCCTGTATCGTGGGGGCAGTTTACAAACATAAATTGCACAAGGACAAACATTCAGACCTGGAACAATTATTTGTAGGCTATACAAATACTTGTTCCGTGCGGGATTCGAACCCGCAACTCCCATCGCCGCCACTCATTGCTAAGCCACTACGCCACGGAGTCGTCAATTAGTTAGTTATGCCCGAACATACATAAAAAATATAAATATCCGAATTGAGTACCTCCTCTTATTTTTAAATTGATTAAAAACATAAACACAAGCAAGCACTGACTAACTATGGAACTGATATAGGAATTGAGGGAGTGCAACTGTACAATAAGCTGCCTGATAGGATCAAAGAATGTAGCACTATTACACTTTTTCTGATTTCTACTTGTTTTGGACCGGAGTTTTATTTTTATACATGTTAAATTACTATTAATCACTGTTAAGCAAACTGTATATTGTTCTTATGTAACAAATAAATGTCTTCAACCAGTGACTATGATTTAATCACTAATGCCATCCTAATGTATCCTATATAATACTAGTTACTAATTAAGTGAAATGTTTTGAGAAATAATTTCTTTAAACCTAAATACTTCTGAATATTAGTAAATGGAAATAGGACTTTTAACAAACTTACATATGCACCGTTCAGGAATGCTCCTCCGTTGGTTCATGTACCTGTACAACCTGGAGGTGTGTGAGGAGGAGGCGTTCCTGCGCTGGCGCGAGGACGTTACTGACGCCTATCCCGGAAAAGGAGAGGCTCTCTTTCAGGTAAATCAACTGTTTTTGTAAAATCATGCACTTTTAGCGGTTTTGAATTCATTTAGGAGTTCAATGACCTCTCACAGTTACTAATATAATTGTCAATTGCAGTTTTAAGTGCTGTGCTTTATTTTACCGTGCGTGACGTTGACATTACCGTGTATTGGCGGTGTAAGAATGTTAACCCGTGGGTGTCGTAGCAGGGGACAGAGGGATGATGAGATGAGAGATGGGCAGCAGCATCCTAATAATGACTAAAAATAAAAAACTGCCGTTGTCAAACCGCTTTCCAATCGTGGCTGATATGGCAAATATCCCGCCCTTTAAGGAAATCTATGGGAGAGATCTAAGTTTAGCTGTATACTTTAATAGGTTGTAACGGTAACCGTGACAGCTTGTTAAAGGGAAATATTGTGAAGAAACCTAAATCTTCATGTCTTAATAATTTAAAAAATTCGAAGAAGTGAACACAGCACATTCTCCCTCCATAAAAAAATCGCTCCAACAGATATGAAAGCTGTATATTCGACGAATCAGACGGTATAAATTAGCAGATTGAGGTAAGGTGTGACATTTTTTTGCATCCTATCCTATTTTGGTGCAAATGATGACAAGCGAGTATGCTGTCCAACTGATGGTAAGTGGCTATTGTGGCCCATGACCATCTACCTCTATCCTTGATTAAGAATCAAAATGCAGGTGTGTTGTCACTAGGGACTAAGATGTTGTTTCCAGTAAAAAGGGTCTCCGGTTCTCTACACTCACCATGGTTCTTCCCCTTTCGAACGGAACCATTCGTACTGCAGACATAATATAGCTACAGGGTAATACAACCACGTAATATAACTGCTTCTGTTCTAATAAGAGAACTGCTTCATTATTACAGCCCTTCACAAGTCCACTGCTGAACATAGGCCTTCCCCAAGTAATGCCACAAAGCACGGTCCTGTCCTGAGCCACCTGCATCCATCGCTTCCTGCATGTCCTACCAGGTCGTCACTCTATTTAGTGGGGGGTCGCCCTACACTACGCCTACCGGTACGAGGCTGCCACTCGAGAACCTTTCTTCCCCATCGGTTATCAGTTCTTCGAGCTATATGGCCGGCCCATTGCCACTTCAGCTTACTAATCCGTTGGGCTATGTCGGTCACTGTGATTTTACTGCGGATATCCTCATTTCTGAGTATCACGCAGAGAAACTCCGAGCATAGCCCTCTCCATAGCTTGTTGAGCGACCTTGAGCATCCTCATACAGCCAGCAGTGAAGGACCACGTCTCAGATCCGTAAGTCATCAATGGCAACACGCACTGGTTGTACAACTTAGTTTTCAGGTTTTGAGATATAACTGACGAGAAGATGCGTCGTAATTTCCCGAACGCTGCCCAGCCGAGTTGAATCCGTCGATTGCCCTCTCGATCGAAGTTGGACTTACCTAATCGGACTATTTGTACCAGGTAAACGTACTCGTCAACAACTTCGAGCATAGTGCTCCCAACAACTACCGGCATAGGTGTGACATGGACATTAAACATGATCTTTGTTTTTGTCCATGTTCATCTTAAGACCTATCCGTTGGGAGGTACTATTGAGGTCATTGAGCATAGTGCTAAGGTCCTCCAGCGATTCTGCCATAAGGACTATATCGTCGGCAAATCGAAGGTGAGTGATGTACTCGCCATTGATGTTAATACCGTATCCTTTCCAGTCCAGTAGCTTGAAAACGTCTTCCAACGCAGCGGTGAAGAGTTTCGGTGATATTACATTAACCCTGTCTTACACCTCTCTGCAGTTGGACAGGTTTCGAAATCTGGTTCTGTACTTGGATAGCCTTCGTAGCCCTACTGTACAAACACTTCAGCACTTCGATATACCGACAGTCAACTTGGCACCGCTGAAGGGACTGTAGCACCGACCAAATTTCGACGGAATCAAAGGCTTTCTCATAGTCCACATATGCCAGGCAAAGTGGCAGATTGTACTCTTCGGCCTTCTGTACAATCTGCCGCAGGGTATGTATGTGGTCTATGGTACTGAAGCCTTTTCGGAAACCGGCTTGTTCGGGAGGCTGGAAGTCGTCGAGTCAGCGTGCGAGACGATTCGTAATGACTCTCGAAAACAGCACGTAGACGCGGCTCAGAAGGGAAATCGGTCTGTAGTTCTTCAAGAGAGCGTTGTCACCTTTCTTAAAGAACAAGAGCACCGCGCTTCTGCTCCACGCCTTCGGAGTAGTGCCACCATGGGGGACGGAATTAAAGAGCTTCTGAAGGACTTCAATACCGGTGTTCCACCCGCTTTCAGAAGCTCCGCTGTAATTCCATCCTCGCCGGGGGCCTTGCCGTTTTTAAGGTGCTGGAGAGCCATTCTAATCTCGCTCAGACTGACGTCCGGGATATCATCGGAATAGTTTTTTTTTAAAGAATATTAACAATGCTATAAACATTACTAATATTCCCCTTAACCACTCGTGATAAGCTTAAATTGCTTGTGTTACGAGTGGTTCACGCCAGTAGTCGAATAGCTGATTCAATATGTCTGCATGTCCCACGACCTTTTTTGAGTTCGCGGTCCGCGCCCTGCCATTAGGCTACTGACGTCGGCTAGTGTCGGTTAAGACTTGCTCTTGGATCGTTACTCACACTTGCGTGTGGCTCCAACGATGATGTGTGCAGCTGCCCATAGAACCTCTCAATCTCACTCAAAATCTCAGGTGTCCCGGAAACGATGTTGCCACACTGTCTTCAGCTTTGACAGTTGGCCTTTTCTGGCAGACAGATCTCTGGCAAAGACTTTGGAGCCCTGGTTCCGCTCGATCGCTTCTTTAATACGAGTAGTAATAAAGTTGCGTAAGTCTCGCCGCATACATTTGGAGATCTGTCTGTTCAGTTGCCTGTATGCTGTCAAATCTGTTGACGATTGCAGCCCCCTCATCTCCCGTCTAACAGCCTTGCCATTAAGAGTGTGATCGGAGAGCTTTTGTGTTCTTCTGCGGCTGGTCTTGCAGAACTTAGCTCCGACCGCATGGACAGTTTCCACGAGATTGTTATTCATATCGTCCACTGCATTGCAATTTTCTAGGCACTAAAATCGGTTACGTAACTCGAGCTGAAAGGTGTCGGGATTCTGGATTAGAGCATGAGTGGGACGGAGCGTTGACTTCATTAGACGAAACCTCTCCAACTTAACGTTTAGGTTCAGTGTGCCTCTAACCATTCGGTGAACGCTGCCGGTTTTCACCCTTGCGATCACTGAGACATCACTGAACAGTTGGCGTCTGGTCGTCATAATGAAGTCAATCTCATTTTTTCTCGAATCTGGTCGGAGCTCGACCAGGTGCACTTCCTGTGGGACCACTTCTGGAAGAAAGAGTTCATCGTAAAGAGTCCCTCTTTCTCCATAAAGTCGGCCAGCTGCTGGCCCCTTCGGTTCCATTGCCCTACTCCAAATTTCCCTAACTTCAGCTCACCGTTTTCTCTAGTGCCTAGTTTTGCGTTGAAGTCTCCCATCAACACCGTGTAGTGGGTTTTGGAGGAATGAATGGCTCTGGAAATATCCTTATACATTTCCTCCACCTCCTCATCGGGATGTGCTGAGGTTGGTGCGTAAACCTGTATGACCTTCAGAGAATACCATTTGGTGATTCTGAGTATCAGGTACGCGACCCTCGTCGACACACTCCCAATCTTTACAACGTTGTTGACAAGAGACTTGTGGACGATAAATCAGACACCTCCTTGGGACAGATGGTCGCCCTCCCGGTGATAGAACAAGTTCCCGGACTCGAGGATTAATCCAATAATATGCCAGCGCAACTTGTCTACCTCTTCTTCCAGCTCCAGTATCTTCTCGTCAGTCCTCAGGGTGCGTGCGTTATATGCTGCCAGGTCGAGTCGTCGTAGGTGGCAACCGAACCTCCACCGGAGATTCTTAGCACCCCCTGCCTCGCCGTTACGATGGTCGCCACCGTAGCCAGGAATAGCGGGGCCGCCGGGGACTGGGGCCGTTTGTTTGCGTCGTTATTCATGGCCATAGTTGCCACGCTTGGCGAGCGGGTTGGCAACCGCAGTTTTTTATTATCACTGTTGTTATCAGGAAGATGCTGCTGCCCATCTCCTGCCTGTCTCCCTCTGTCGCCTCTTACGACACCCAAGGGAAGATATGGGGTAGTGGATATTCTCAACCGCCACTACACGGTGAAGAGAACTGCTTCCCTTCTGCGAATCCGTCGAGTTGCGATATTTTATTCCCTTTGCTGATATACCCACTGGTGGCTCGCTCATAGTTTAAACTTGGAATACTTCCAAGCTGATGAGCGCAAGCATTTGGCGTGTCTATCCTGAGTCGATGTTCGAGATCGCAATGCAGCGGATATCAGTTTCAAGAACTGACAACCAATGGGTAAGAAAAGTTCGAATTGCAACCACATACTGGGTAAGCTAAGTGGAGAGCAGCCCTCCACTAGATGGCGTAACTACGTAAATAAATGCTGAATGTATGAATAGAATAGAATAATATTTATTCAATAAAGATTATTAAATAATACTTATTGAGTTTTGTTTACCAGTGATTCATAACAACTTTAACCAACTTTACAATTAATTTAGTACAACTTTTCATATGAATTTTAATATCATATTATATAATTTTTATGTGACTCAGGACCGTGTTGTATGGATTAAATTTTTAATTAGTAAACAGCGTATGACTACAAAATGAAAGGCATCAATTAACAAGCAGCACTACGTTGCAGGTGAACACTTGGCTGACGTGGCTGCAGCAGCAGGAGTCCGAGGACGAGGAGGCAGAGGACTAGTCACTGTGTCCTCACGTCGTCCTCACACATTCGCACTGCTTTCGTTTGCGCTCATCTCATATAAATATAATTAAGCCAAATAGTTAAAAAATACCTACTTTTGTTACCCTTTAACGCTGGATCCGCCGCTCTGGGCGACTCTTGTGTTAAATAGGTCAATTTTTAGGTTAAACTACGTAAACAAATGTTAGTATCTCGAGATAATTTTTTGTAGGCCTTTTACTCGATTTTGATACTTTTACAAATGTATACAATGTATAGTGTTCGTTTGTACGTATGTTTGCACCCCGACCTGCCCCCCTACCCCCTTCCATCAATGAGCGTACTTTAGTTTAAATTGTATAAATATATCTATGGAGAACTTAAATCAATTTCTATTATTAATATCATGATCATTTATTTTCAATACTAAATGGAATTAGTGAATAAACTGTAAGAATGCTTAAATTTCATTGTATTATCAGATTTTAGAATTTTGTAACTAGATAAATCAAAAAAGCCAATTGTTGTTTCCTTGAGCGTAAGATAAGTTGTTGATTGAGTGATTTGTAATAAAGTTGTGAAGTGATGCAAGCTAAATAAGTAACAATGGTCAATATGTATTCAGGATGAGAAATAAACTTCAGTGTAATTTATTAACAACTTGTTTTATTTCATAATTATACAATTAACCTAACTATTGTTTACATTATAAAACTAATACAATTTACAAGACATTCACAACTCAAACTGCTATACAGTTCTTGACTTTCTTGTAAAGATGTTTATTGTAGTCCACTTTGTTCAAGAATAAATGGTGCTGTAAAATAAAAATAAATACTATTATTATCAAAGGTCCAAATTAGGTAGAGTTATTTATGTACTTGCATTGAAATGTTGATATTAATATGGATCTGCCTAGGATTTCTAATAGACAATCCCGTGTGGAAAACAATATTACAAATAAATAATAACCTCATAGATAGATAAGACAAATAAAACAAAGATAATTAACATAGAATTTTCATAATTTTCATGCAAATATCATTAAGCAAATTCTCATAATTATACTTCGCCTTTTTTATAAATACGAATGTACTTTTGGTTCTAGCCTACTCTATGAATGAAACTCATGAGGTTTTGCTTATTCAAATGGCCTCTCAGAGTCATTTTCCTTGTTCGATTCATTTAAAGTACCGCTAAACTTTGAAGTTTTCGCTTCCGACATTACTGTATTACTTTTATGAGAATTGAAGTATATAACCATTAGCTTTTCAATATTTTCTGGCTTCAATGAATTTCTCGGAGCGTCTAAAATCCAAGATTGCTCTACGTAAACTCAGGTGAGTTTAGTAATTATTTAGTTACTAAACTCACCTCAATTTAGTAATTATCTAGCTTAAAAGTGCAACCTAATGACTGTATATCACCAATTAATACTCACGAAAGTGACCCTGACCTAAGTGACGACGACCTCACATTTCAAGACCCCAATAAAATTTCTGCTTGTCGTAGAAATTCCTCTCAGTGTCGTTTCTATACACCAATATAATATACAACTTGGGACAAGTAATGCCAGTAAAATAAAAATGACTCTCAGAAAGTCTGAAAAACGGCAACAACAGTGGATTACCACTAATGTTGAGGATGTGGATGCAGAATATCAATATAATATTGCAAAATACTGGTAAACCTTACACTTGTTTGTCAACATCTAAAAAAGATGTTCCTATCCATAGTATAAAAAACCGGCCAAGAGCGTGTCGGACCACGCTCAGTGTAGGGTTCCGTAGTTTCCCGTCCGTCACAATAAGTGTTCCCACTTATGAGTTTAAAGGTGGGTATCCATTATGTTCGCGCTCCAGCAGCGCTCCGCGCTCCTGCAACTGCTCCCGGTAGTGGGTACTGTCGTTTCCATCCAAGTTCAAAATGATCTTCCTAGAAAGTCCTTATAAAGTTCTACTTTTCAGATTTTTTTCATATTTTCTGAACTTATTTAAAAGTAGGGGGGGACACATTGTTCTTTAATTTTGGAGCGATTATTTTCGAAATTATTGACATTATCAAAAAATGATTTTAGTAAACCCCTATTCATTTTTAAATATCTTTCCAACAATATATCACACGTTAGGGTTGAAATTAAAAAAAAGTCACTTCCCACTTTACATATAGGGGGGCTACCCTAATAAAACATTTTTTTCCAATTTTTATTTTACCACTTTGTCGGCGTGATTGATACACATATTGGTACCAAATTTCAGCTTTCTAGTGCTAACGGTCACAGAGATTAAGCGAGGACGGACAGACATGGCGAAACTATAAGGGTTCCTAGTTGACTACGGAACCCTAAAAACCCACGTAAGCCTTGTTGAATAAAATTCTCCGACCAGATAGATGAAGTCCAAAGGGCTAACATTTTTTAAAATGTATTGGAATCTTTCCAATGTAAACCTTTAAAGAATTCATTAACTGAAGCCAAAATATAGATATTCCAATGCTCAAAAACCCAAATCACCTAATAATGCGTTTTTTTTTCAAAGTAAATAATCAAAAAATTTGAGTTTGCAAAACATATTTCATGAATACTCCAGATATTACAAAAAGATAGATTGGAACTGTTTAAGTAAAGTGGAAGTGTTTAAAAAGTAATCTTGTCGGATTTATAGCCCAGGATGGGAGAGGTAAGCACACTAATATAAAAAATATATACGAAACCATTCTTAAAGACATTGAAAGTCACATAAATACAATCAGGATGGAGTCACACTACCTCAGGGTATCTATGTACATCAAAAGAGTTTAGTTTACGACAGGCTGTTTTCCGCAACTCCACGTCTAAGCGCGTATTTTGCGTGTGGGCAGGAATAATATGCTTATTCGAGCATGTTATCAGGGGGCTATCAGTAACACTTATGATGAACAAATGTTTGTTAAAAGAGCCATGTCCTGTGATAGCACTTGTTACTATCCTGATCTGTGGCTTTTTCAGTCTCATCAGAACCTTGGTTAGACAACTGTTTATTTCAGGTAGGGCCTCCCTAGCTTGTCTACAGTCTACAAAATTTTTCCAAAGCTGAGCGTGTAAATTATTGAAGTATCTACGTACCAGTGAATGAATTGGCAGAAGAGAAGTTTTGAGAGAGAGATTGGAAGAAGAAGAAAAAGAAGTTGTTTATTGATGGCAGTAAAACAGTCAAAGGTCTCTGGGGGTTGACTATAGACATCCGGTACTTGATTTTGATAATTTTTTAGTCTAGCAGGCTTGTTAGGGTTAAGCTTGAACTTACTACACTGTTTTTAGATGTTGGAAATGCGTTTTGAATTAATTTCGATAAAAACAAATTTCACTAAAAATGTCAATTTGTCCTCGTATTAGGTTATCAAGTAGATGTCTGTTACTTATTTTTTTAATTTTGTTTTCCATTTAGGAGGATTTTCAGGGTTAAGCTTAAACCATTTACACTGATTTTTGGATTTTGAAAATGCCTTTTGAATTAATTACGTTAAAAATAAATTTCACTAAAAATTGCAATAACGAAACGAAAATATGTCAATATGTCTTTTTTTAACACAGATGCACTAATAAAAAGTTAATCACTCGGGCCCAGACAATCCATTTGTGGCTGGAGATGGAACCCATATACAACAAATTGAGTCGCAGTGGAGAGTCAAGAGATGTTTCAGAAAACAAAATTATAACAATTCAAATTACATTATTTCATTTACCACTATCATAGCAGAGTTTAGGGCAACCAGATTTTATAGATAAGATTGGTCGAATCGGTTCTAAAACCGAATTAGCACACCCCGATTGCACATAGTCTTGTCTGCCCTACCCCTAGTGTTTTTGTAAAGCCGTAGGCATGGAGGGAGAGCAGCCTCCGCACGCGGTAGCAATAAGCCGAAGCTGCGGAGGCGAGCATGGGTGCCTGTGATTTGCTACGCATGGTCGAAGGGGCTGCACTTCTCGCAGTGCCGAAGCCGTTGCAGAAGTAACTTTGCGTCAATATTCCTGTATAAAAGGCGAGGTAATGATTTTACAAAAAAAAATTATTACTCATAAACTATACATTTCCGCAACGGGGGAAGTATAGGAGGGGCTTCCCATGACCCCCTCCCCTCCTCCCTCCCCCTCTCAACACCGTACGCGAGTACCGGACGTCCATAGTCTATCCGACTGGAGAGACTTCTGCAGAAACACAGATCCAATTAAACCTAAAGTTGAGTACTGGCTATATTATCAAGTATTTAATAACAATTTTAATATCGGCTTCTTTCAGCCAAAAAAAGATTGTTGTGATCTTTGTTTACTAAGACATGTAGTTCAACCGAGGCAAAAGTAAGTGACGCAGAAGTCCCAATGAGAGAATTGGGGCCTTTAGCGACATGTATCTCGAGCAAAGAGAGAGAAAGTGACGCAGAAGCCCGAATTCACACTTACTGATGGCATATCAGACCTAAAAGCAAACTTGCACGAGAAGTTTGACAACTATATAAAAGGAAAATATTTTTTTGCATTGAAAAAAAGAATGATCGTAGGATGTTTGGTGACGGCTATAATATTAGCAACATCTATGATTTGCAGGCAATCATGGAATTTCCTGTGGGCAATTGCAGTCATTTGTATTACATATCCCAACTCAAGCGTTTGCATTTCATCATGGCTGAGTTAGCTGCTATTAAACACCAAAATAAAAATACAACTGCAATAATCGACCTCACACTTGCAACAGAAGGAGCAGCTAAGCTAATAACGGGATGTCATGTGTCGAAAGAGGCCTCATGCTCAGACCACAGATGGATCTGCTGCGTACTACAGGGCGATATCCCCGCTATACCACCATGGAGAAATCCCCGCAAGACGGATAAAATAAAATACCTCAATAGGCTGACGTCTTCGCTCGCTGGTGTTGGGGGAACTAATACCATAGCAGATCAATCGCTCCTAGAAGAACAGGTAGCAGCTGTCACTAAAGCCATGATCAGTAGCTACCATGAATCATGTCCAGTAATCACCAGCT